GATTTCTGTACTCCACCTCGACGAGCGGAGTAGCGCCTAAATCGATTTTGTTAATTCGAATTAGGGTTAGTGTGGCCGCACACCACCGAATTACTGTGGTTAAATTAATGGGGTAGTGTGGCCGCACACCACCGAATTAATGTGGTTAAAAACCGAATTAATGTGCTTAGTGTGGCCGCGCACAATCGAATTTATACAACCTGTTTCCCAAATTCGAATTATCTAAATTTGGATTAATCCCGTAGTGTAGACATACCCAAAGGGGGGATATGATAGAAGTCTGTTAAATCATGACTGGTGTGGAGAAAGTAAAGAAGGAAGTCTTATTTACTCATTCTCATAACACACAAGCTAGGGGTCACTAACAAAAGTAATAGGCAGCAGGTTTAAAACAAACAAAAGGAAGTATTTTTTCACATGATGCACAGTTAATCTGTGGAACTCCTTGCCAGAGGATGTGAAGGCCAAGACTATAATATCGTTTAAAAAAGAACTAGATAAGTTCATGGAGGATAGATCCATCAATGGCTATTAGCCTGGATGGGCAGGGATGGTGTCCCTAGCCTCTGTTTGCCAGAAACTGAGAATGAGCAACAGTGTATGGATCACTTGATGATTACCTGTTCTGTTCATTCCCTCTGAGGCACCTGGCATTGGCCACTGTCGGAAGACAGGGTACTGCGATAAATGGACCTTTGGTCTAACCCAGTATGGCTGTTCTTATGTTCTCTTTGGGCTAAGATTAACGATGATTCTTTCACAGTCAATTGTGGGAGAACTTGTTTGGCCTTCATGGGAAATTATGGGAAGCCTATCAGCACTTGCGCAATTTAGCCTCCATCCTCACTGCAAAGTGGACAGGTTCCAGCCTAAGCTAAAGCAGAGCCTAAGCTTAAACCTCCTCCAAGCAACGGTATGTAGATGGGAGGTTGGGTTAAAACACAAGTGAACTCTGCAGTGAAGACTTACTGAAAGTATTGAAATATGCCTGTAATAGGAAAAGAAGTTATAAGCTGGTAAATTTTGTAAGCTGGGCTCGGGAGAGATGGAGGATCATAAAGAAAATGGAATTAAATCTTTCATCCCTAAAAGAGAAAAGATGATCCAAATAGGTTATATTTGGAGACCACTAGCGAACTGTTACATGACAGCATGTTGTACAGTTGATAATAAAGCCATTCAAGCTTTTATGGGGATGTCTACCTCACCACCTTGGGAAAAAGCGTTAATGTATTTTTAGATTGCACTTATATTCTCACTGAACGGTATAGTTAGTTGTTTCTAAAGAGTGTCCAGATCATGTTGCAAATTGTTGCATGTAATTTTTTTAAATGGCCAGTACAATATATACTAGAGAGAATTCCTCTCTCATTCCAATAACAAATGAAAAAAGAATATATTCCTCTTAACAGAATTACCTGTTTCCTTATTTTCGCAGAGATTTACAACAACAAAAATACACACCACATAATTTGGAAAGCTTTCAATAGGAAAATGGACATTCTTGTAGCAAAACACACCACAGTATATATCAAAAGGTTTGGATACGTAAAGTCTATTTAGATGAATTTATGACACAACCAAAGTCAGTCAAAAGTTAAGATTGCCCTAATACACTCCTACTCAAGAAGCAAAACAGGTGTAATACTGCTCATTTTTAAAGTGATTTATAAACCCAACCCATTTTAATCAAGTGTGTAGAGAAAAGTAATTATGATAGGTCTATAAAAATAAGTTATTCCACAATAACAGTATTCATTTGAAAAAGTTCAGAGTCTCAGAAGTGTTACAAGTTTCCCAGAATTCGCACAAAATAGAAAGATACCAAAAGCATTTAGGGTTTCATTATGGAGAAATAATTTTCCAAATGGTCATCTTTTAAAAATCTGTGTCATTTAAGTTATACAAAGGCTAAAAACCCACTGAAACTGCACTAATATGTTAAATTGTTTGTAAATCCAATTTTCAATAGTTGCTTTCAAGTTTGAGCGCTTATGTGCCTACTTTCAGGTAAAGACAGACCATAACAGTTATGAACACCTCAAAATAAGAGCTTTTAAAAGGAAAATTCAGTCACGCTATAGCACCATTTAATAGAGAAGCATTTGTGTTTTAGCTCACTACCCAGGTTCTTCTATTAAGAGAAATGTAGCTATAAAGCCCTGGCTTAACAGATAAAAAGTATGTTTTCCAGTTAAGTTAGCTGAACATGATTGAAAAGCCCCGCTGAACATGAAGCTGTTTAGGTAGAATGCTACAACAGAACCAGTTAGCAGTTTCAAATGTGTTAGCCTGCATCTTAAAGAGTATAAGGAGAGCTTTTCAATCTTGTTACTCTAACTCAGGGGTCGGCAACCTCTGGCACATGGCTTGCCAGGGTAAGCACCCTGGCGGGCCGGGCCAGTTTGTTTACCTGCCGCGTCTGCAGGTTCGGCCAATCGCGGCTCTTACTGGCCGGGGTTCGCCACTCCAGGCCAATGGGGGAGGCGGGAAGCTGCGGCCAGCACATCCCTCGGCCCGCGCCGCTTCCTGCAGCCCCCATTGGCCTGGAGCGGCGAACCGCGGCCAGTCAGAGCCGCGATCGGCCGAACCTGCGGACACGGCAGGTAAACAAACTGGCCCGGCCCGCCAGGGTGCTTACCCTGGCAAGCCGCGTGCCAGAGGTTGCCGACCCCTGTGCTAACTCATTTGAGTTAACATGATAGACACCTCACCACTCTTTGGCTATTAAGACAGTCTAGAGGTTTTAACTCAGTTACAAGTTTCTCTCTAAGCCCTTTTCTAGACTAAGATTTAAAGATGAGGTACTAGCATGTGTTAGAAAACACATGCTGACTTTTTAAAAGTCTAGTCTAGACAAGTTACAATGCCTTAATACATGCTAAACTGGTCAAGTTAGTGCACCTTGTCTAGACTATTAGCTAACGTGCTAACATCTACACAGAGCCCAAAACTTTCAAAAATGCTTAACAGACCACATCATTACACCTTCCATATAGAGTGAATACTATCTACAAGTCACTGGACTTTTTTTGAAGCACAAGTATCGGAGAAATCTCTTTGCCGCCACTACTACTTGCTAAAACCATCCTCATTCACTCCTCTTTCCCTCAAGTTGCCGACCCTAACAAAACCAAAATGATAAGTTCTAAACCTAGACAAATCTCATTTCAGGAACTATAATACTGTTACTGACATAACAAATTGTGTCCTACCATACTTTTCCTTAGCCTGGAAACAATATCAAAGCACTTTCATTTAGTAAACACTTGCACAGTTACTAGGAATAGGGAACTGTCCTTTTTAGTAAGATTATAAAAGCAATAGCTCTCTCATATTCAACTCCTAAACCAGATGCATTAACTTTACACATTAACTTCAAGACACATGCATGAAGCGATGTTAAGCTTCAGATACTTGTGCTAAATATGCCAAAAAAATTAATGGAAAGAAAACATAAACCTAACGCACCATATATGTTAATGACTTTAAAGCTCAAATACAAAGAACACCCTAGTTGTAGATACCTCATATGAACTGATGACACCAAGGACAGTCTACAGAATAGTTTATTTACAAAGTTCACTAAATATATGAAAAACAGTAGTCAACAGACAGATAACATCTAACATTCAAATACTGCAATGAAATTACTAATACATCACACCCAAAAGAGTATAATTATTTCAACAGTATTCAGCAATTACAAAAAAACCGTTAATGTTTTATGAGAATAATTCAGGATTATGCCTTCTTCATTTGGAATAAAATAAAGAAACTGATGACACAACACAGAGATATCAATACAATGATAAAATAGCTAACTTCTACTTGTATAGAACTTTGGAACACTGTCCACATAAAAGAAGTGTTCCAAGAAGAAGTGGGTATTCACCCACGAAAGCTCATGCTCTTATACGTCTGTTAGTCTATAAAGTGCCACAGGACTCTTTGCTGCTTTTATAAAAGTGACGGTAATCCTTGCAAGTGTTTAGAAACACAAGCTAATAGCACATCATCACTAGGATGAAAAGAAGTGTTGTAAAAAAATATTTTATGCTTGTTGATTTTTTGTAGACAGATCTCCTGTGTTTATTAACTAAAAAAAGACAGATCTGTTTGATTTTTTTCTCTCTTGACTGGGGAATAATGGGAGAACTAAGCAGCACCAGCATTCAAGACTCTGGATCAAAGAATCCTTACATAGTCCTTGGAAAGACTAAACTGGAAACTTCAAAGTTGATTAAGAGTCAGAAACACATCAATATTGGAATGTCTAATTACAGTACCTGAGTTGTGTTTGGGGGCTTTGTTTGTTAGAGAAAGAGCTGCTTTACAGCAAAAACATTCAATATATGAAGTGGATAATGTGTGTTCTAGTTTCTTTACCAACACAGAGCAAAATCCCTAAAAGATTGCAGTTAGCTGTCTAACAACTGGAAGATATGCACTCTGTGGGTGCCCCAGAATGACAGTAACGTGACACAAGTATTCCCACCACCCCCACCTCCAACTTCCACACCTGCCATGGAAGTCACTTACCCGAGTGCAGACGGGGCACCTCAACCCACCACCACAACAGGTGCCTGCTCTGTTAAACTTCTGACTCCTTCCCCCGGCCTTGGGGGCTGCGGGAGAGTCCGACACCTCCCACCTATCGTAAGGTCAGAGCCGGAGAGTCCTGCCAGCCCCTTCCCTCTGCACAGTCGGGATCATCTCCCTGCTCTCCCAGCCCCGGGACCGGAGCGATCCCCTCCGACAAGAGCAGCCTGTCCTGAGCACTGGGGCCCGCCACCTTCACGTCAGGGAGAAAAGGGTGTTGCGGCCGCCCGGCCGGTCCCACCTTCCCCTGGGCTGCGCGGGTGCAGCGGGCCCCGGCCCGGCAGGCTGGGGCGGGGACTCCCCGGGCCCCTCTCTCTAAGATGGCAGCGGGGCTGTCCCCACGCCGAGGGGATGGCATTAGCTGGCCTGGTGCGAGAGGCCCCGGCCAGGACACTTACCCGTGGGAGTTGGGGGTGGCCACTGCTCTCCTGCCCGGCTGCCGTGGGGGGCCCGATCCCGGCAGAGGCCTCCTCTCTCGAGCTCCGGGGAGGCGGCGGCTGGGTACAGCGCTTCCCCCGCTTCGGCCGGGGGCCCCGGCACCGCAGCGCCTCCGCTCCGCAGTCCAGCCGCCCTCGGGCCCCGGTGTGGTGCGGGGCCCCGGCGGGAGCCCGCAGCGCGCCTCCCTCTCGCGGGGAGTCGGGCGGGGGGGCCCGGCCCGGCGGGCGGATCCGCGGCGCTTCCTGGCCGGGCAGATTTTCTATCGCTCACAAAATGGCGCGCGTTCCAAACCTGCGCAGCGACCGGCGGCGGCAGCGGGGCCCGGACGCGGCGGCGGCCTGAGCCCCGGCCAGGCAGAGCGGAGACAGCCGCGAGAGCGAGCGAGCGGGGGGAGCGCAGCGCCGAACCGAGCCCCCGGGAACTCCTCGCTCACTTGCCCGCTCGCTCCCCCCTCCCCCCCCGCTCCTCCCCCTCCCCCCTTCCGAGCCGGCTTCTCCAGGGCTGTACTCCGGACCGCTCCTTGCTGCGCCCGCCCGCCCGCGCTGCCGCCTCCCCCTCGCCCCCTCCCTGCTGTCCCTGGGCCCGCGAGGGGTGAAGCCCCCAAAACCCGCGAGGACAATTTCCTGGGCAAAATTATAATTCGGGCGGGAAGGGAAATTATTTGAAAAAAAAAAAACCCCAACTGACAAAATGGCGACGGGACAAGCCTGTTACTATGGCAACTGTCAATCACGCCGCGAGGCGCCCCGCCCCCGAGGCGGGAGGCCGCTCTGACGTGGTGAAGGGGGAGAAATGGGCGAAGGAGGGGCTTGGTTTCCTTGGCAACTGGTGCTTCTCTTCCTCCCTCCCCTGTTCCACCATGGTGTGACGTTATAAACTCAGAGGTGCCGCCGCAGCGGGGGTCGTCCATGGCCCGGGGCCGCCGAGCCTGCGGCGGGGAGGGGGCGCGCGCCCCCCTGGGCTTGGCTGCGCGGGAGCGCCAGGCTTTATCCCCAGCGCGCAGCGGCGGGAGGTGCCGCCTCTCTGCTTCCCCTGGGCCTGAGCCAGCGGGATCTGGCGCATGAGCGGCAGCAGGCAGGAGCCGCGCTCACCCCCTTCCCGCAGCAGGCAAAGAAATTTCTAGTGTTCAGTCGTGGAGCGAACCCCTTCCACGCGTTACGGGAGGACAAGCTGAGGCGCAGCGCTGCCTGCCTGGATCTGCAGGCAGCTCCAGTACCTCTGCTGCCGGGCTAAGCTTGCAGACTTAAGCTGGAGGAATGGCAACGGCAGCTATTAAGAAACCTACAGAGACAAAAAAAAAAAAAAAAAAAGCCATGAGCAATAATGGGCGGCAGCCCTGCCGCTAGCTACTAGGGAGGAGACCCCACATGGAGATTAGAAGGAAAAGGTAGCAGACCCGCAACTTTGCAGCGCCCACAAGGCTTAGCATGCAGAGAACCTAACCCCTCTATCACTGTGTGTAGCCAGCAAGCTTAGGGTAAGATAAGGTCCTCCAGAGACAGCACCTGTTGGAGATCCAGGCTCCTCCTCTTTTCCTGCAAGGGGAGTTAGGATCTTACTGAGGCATTTTTCTGCACAAGGTAGTTCCTACATATTGTTCCAGGCTTTGGCTAGTAGGTTTAGCTCCCCAGCAGTATACACAGAAAATTTTACCAGCTATTCTGGCTTGTGAGTGGATCAGTATAAGGGCGAGATTGGGGGTGGGGAGGAAAGAGATATTAGATAGCAAAAGTAGGATACTGGGAGAAAGATCAGTGGGGAGGAGAAAATGTTAGAAAAGGTAGATAGGATGTAGGGAATAAAGAAAATGGATTAAAAGGTTGGATTGAGAGAAGGAAATACACATTGAAGACAGACCAAAAAAAATTTTTTTTTCAGAGGGTCTAGTCCTTAGGGACTGTCAGGGCCGGCTCCAGGCACCAGCTTAACAAGCAGGTGCTTGGGGTGGCCAAGGGAGAGGGGTGGCAGGTCCCTCACTCCTAGGAGCGAAGGACCTGCCGCTGAACTGCTGTCGCTGATCCTGGCTTTTTTTTTTTTTTTTTTTGCTTGGGGCAGCAGAAATGCTGGAGACAGCCCTGGGACTGTAAAGCTTCAATTTGGCAGCCACACTACAGATGGTATATTTAGTGTTTATTGCAAGGGTGCCATACACATTCTTTAAAGAGGCCTGAATACTACTTTTAGTTTTGGCTCAGGGTCTAAATTTAGTTCTACATACTACTCTAAATCTACTGTGGAATTCCCAATCATCTTACTGGGAGGCTTGCACAAATATCAGCAGTAGAATATGGCCTTTACTACCTTGACTTAAATAATTAAAAGTTTAAGTCACATACAGCATCACTGAGGGGAAATTCTTCTCCTGTTTAGGACCAGTTAGTGCTATTTGTTTCCTTCTATTTCCTCTTCCTTGTACTCTATTTTGTGTCTCCTCTCAATGTTTTCTGCCTCTGGGTCTCTTTTTACAGTGTCTGATGTGCAACAATTCCCAATTCCCACCATATAGTTTCACTCCTACACCATTTTTCATCTCATCTGAAACAAGATCAACAATTAAATAGAGACATATAAAATGTCATTGTTTGATATGAGTATTAATACACAGATTAACATGGACAGGAACTTCACACTTCTCCAAGCCATTGTTTCAGGCTGCTTGCACATTCAGGAAAACAGCACTACATTTACTCTCAGTTTCTATTTGAAAGATTACATTTGCAACCATGAAAGCTAGAATTTTTTAATGAAAGTTTAGATTCTGCAGAATCTGAACATACCATGTAGCTCACATGAGATACCAAGCAAGCTGAATTTTTAACACTTAATGCCACCCCTTTGGCATGGAGAGCACAACAAAGGTCTACAATGTAGCTGTTGTACTGCATGCGGTATCACTTGCTGCTACTGGCAGACTCCTGGTGGTCTTGCTGCAGCACACAGGATGCAACAGGCACTAGAGGAAGCAGAAGTAGATACCAGGAATAGAGGCTTCTGCAAGGCTGACTCAGAGACAAGATATGGGGCCCCTATACATGCTGCCTTCAGGCACAGTCCTTCCCTACTGCCGCTTCACCAGGCTTAGCAACGGGCAGGGGATGGAAGTGCTAAACTGAGATGTTGGCTAGAGAAGGGTTTCTGAATATGCAGGAGGGTGAGGGTGAATTTCTGAGACACGAGAAAGAAAGGTGGGATGGGGAGGAATTCTGAACTTGGGACTAGTCAGGGAGGATGGTTATGGTGAGGGCAGAGGATTTGGTACATGGGAGAAAGGAGGCGTCTGAGCTAGGGATTCTGACGGAGGTGGAGTTGTGAGGGAGTAGCAGGTTTGAGCCAGGGTGAAGGAAGGCTATCAGGAAGTAGAAGGGCTTTCAGCAGCGGGGAGGATAAGCAGGGGAGAGGGTTCTGAGCAGTAGGTAAAAGGGGAAAACAGAGGGCAGGGAGAGGAAGGGTGAGCCTGGGGGAGATCAGGCTGGAAAGAAATAAATAGTTAAGGGAACTTGGATGTTCTTAATTGAAAGGGAAATGGCTATGAGATGGGTGAATGAGTTGAACTGGTGAATAAGTGTGTGTGTGCGCACAATAAGCAGGGATCACAATCTCCCTCACCCTTATTTTTCACCAAGGCACAAAAGGAGACATTCATTTCTTCCACCCTGCTCTTGGTTATAATGTCACCCAGTTTTTCATTAGGAACTAAGGTGATGGAGAGGAAAGAAAAGGATGCTCCCACTTTCAACTTGTCCCCAACCTCCCTTATCCCCCACCAAAAGCCATTCAGGGACATGCTCACTAGTGTGCTAGTTTTACACTTTGAAAAAAATCTAATGAATTTGTGGGAAGGGAGAGAGTTGCAGATCACATGTTACCTGATAGAGAATGAAAATGCTTTAAAAAAAAAAAAAAAAACACACACACCACACATTTTTTTTAATATAGAGGGAGCCCATGATGCTGTACAGAAGACTCCAGTCCACAAAAAAGAAAACCCAGAGGAGGGGTAGGTTTGGGAAACACTATGGTATCTGTAGTCCCACCACTGATTTTGGGCACCAGCCACCCCTCATACTCTACAAAAGAAAAAAAAAGGTGAAGTCGGGAAAGACAAGATGTAACAAGTTAAATTTCTAAAACATAAATAGCATGGATGTACGTACAATTAAATAGTGCTCAGTAAACAGCGTTCAACCGTTGTATTCCTTTAAATCAGGGGTAGGCAACCTCTGGCACATGTGCCGAAGGCGGCACGCGAGCTGGAAGTTGCTTGGATCATATTCAATAGCTGGCTCCAAGTTCTTTTCTGCCCTCATTGCAGTTATTATTGGCAGGCAGAGCAGGCTCATCCAAAGGGGACCCCTCTTGTAGGCCCTGTGCCCTTGGTAGCTTAGAGGAAGGGACTTGCTTTCTGGACAGGGACTTTGATTCTGAAATTGTTGGTAAAAACCTGGAGTCCTGGCTGAGGAATATGCCAAACAATTTTCCTCAGAGAATATTAAGGCATTAGAAAAGACAGCATAATCCAGGGGTAGCAACCTATGGCACGCGTGCCAAAGGCGCCACATGAGCTAATTTTCAGTGGCACTCACACTGTCCTGGTCACTGGTCTGGGGGGCTCTGCATTTTAATTTAATTTTAAATGAAGCTTCTTAAACATTTTAAAAACCTTATGTACTTTACATACAACAATAGTTTAGTTATATATTATAGACATAGAAAGAGGCCTTCTAAAAATGTATCACTGGCATGCGAAACCTTAGAGTCAATAAATGAAGACTCGGCACACCACTTCTGAAAGGTTGCCGACCCCTGCTTTAAATTGTAGCACTGGTATTTATTATGTCTAGTAGACTTAGGCCTTGTCTTCACAAGAAAGTTGTACCACTAACTTAAATCAGTTAAATTGGGAGGAGGGTAGCATGGGAATGAGAAAACCATGAGGTAGTTGGAGGCTGTGTATGTTTATAGGCTAGAGAGGGAGGTAGAACTTGACAAGGAAGGGAGAGATTGATTATAGTGGAAGAGAGGATATAAATAAATTTTTGGAGGTCAGGCTATGTAACACGTCCCAAGTAGGTTGGGATTGAGGGGAGCCTGCCTCTGTCAATACGTTTGGTGAGTGCAGAGGAAGGCGTCTGTGTGCAAGAGAAGATTCTTGGGAGTTTGCATGTGTTTAGCATTTGCTCAAACTTGAAAGCCAGGCAGTGGTGCATCTGTGAGATTGGGGGGAGGGGCATGAAGCAGAAGTGAGCATTAGTTGGGATAAAAAAGAAGAATGCATGACAGTTTATAGTGGGAGAGGTAGGACAGTATACGAGAGAGAAGATGACAGTGGGAAGCGTACAGAGAAATTGAGAATGTGGAATACAAAACAGGAAAGGAGCCATATTTTTATGTCACAGTTTGGGTGAAACCATTGAAGCTGGTGGGTGCAACAGCAGACCCTCATT